ATGGAACTTCAAAGTCACACTTTAAAAACGCAAAAAATGAAAACAAGAGATAACTGTCCTGAAATAAGTTTATTTTGTTGTCCCATTTTCAACAATACCTGTACGCGAGAGCCTCTCCTCTCCTCTCCTTGCGCCAGGCGGTGTCTAGCTACGACGCATACTTAGCCTTCACTGTAGAAGTCGGGCTTGGCATTTCGGTCTCTTTTCACCTTGAAGTGAGGCCACTACGACCGCAGATCGGTATGTACGGTAGCCTTCACCACAACTGTGCGCTGCGACCGAGGTGACCGCTGATTATTTTCTACGATCAAATGTAATAGGGCAGGGGGAGCAGTTTATGGTCTTTGGGTGCTGGGCTCGACGGTTGCATGGTTGCAATGTTTTTTTTTTCGCTCAGGCAACCCAATCTTGACCAGCAGCGGCCCAACATCGAAATTGATTTCCGGCACGTAGTTGCGCCGATACACACTGTTGAAAAATGTACGTTTTGTTATTTAAACCATCTTCAAACAAACATGCGAGTTATATGTAATCTGGACGTACCAGAAAAAGCATTTTTTTTTTTATTTGTCAGCGATACGAGGGAGACGGGAAGGGAATTTTCATATTCATTCAAGGGACTGGAAGATCGACAGTGGGAAAACGTGAGCGTTCTGAGCGCGACTATAGGGAAATTTCTATACTAGTTCAAGGGACTTCGTTACTGGATTCGTTAGCAAGAGAACTTCAGCGATCCAAGCCAACCTAAAAGGTAATTTTCATATCGTCAGCAGGAGAAAGATAGCGATCTGAGCGAGACACGTAGGTAATTTCCATATTTGTTCAAAGGATTCAAAGGACTTTGTTAGAGGAAGATCGTCAGCGGAAGTTCAACAGCTATCCGAGCGAGACGATGAAGCGATAAGCATATCGGCAGTAGGAGGCCATAAGCGATCCGAGCAAGACGAGAAGGCAGTTTTCATATTTGTTCAATGGGCTTCATTAGTGGATGATAGTGCAATCGTGAACGATCCGAGTGAGGCAAGGAAGCAATAACGGCAATCTTTATTGCAGACCTCCATTGCTTCTGTTTTTCTGTTATTGAAAACCCTACGATGCTATTGTTCGCCCCAGCAAAACTAGCGGTTGCGCAACGATAGCGCGACAGTGCAGCTCTTAATTTACTCCCCTGTTATCTGAAGGAATGGTAATGACGATGTTGTTCCGCGTGCTAAGTCAACTGTACCGATCGTTATCTTGCACCTTGGGCGGTACACGTAGTACTCAGGTAAAGGTACAACATAAAGGGCAACATTGCCGCCTGTCAGATTTTTATGAGCCCGAAAACGGCCTGATGGCCGATTGTTAAGTTGTACGAAATGCACGAAATCAAAATCGTGCATAATTGCTCACGGGTCGCAATTCATGGTCCATAAAAAACTCCAGACGGTCGATTTCAAGATCGTTGGAAACTTAGGAACCGTTCGAAATTCATGGCATATTGTCATAATACATAATCACCACCAATCTTCAACTATGCACTTCAGGTAACATGGATATTCAGAAAATGACTAGCTAAGGTCTTCGGGCCCAAGGAACTTCAAAGTCACACCTTAAAAACGTAAAATGATAAACAAGACAATTTTACTGAAAAGAGTTTTTCTTCAACACGTCTTTTACACAAAACAAATAATCAACTGTCACTTTCATATGATCAACTAAGAGAACTATTGAGAAAGGAAAATATTAATAAAACATTTTTAAATGTCAAATTTACTCCCTACTGAGACTCTGAACATTATTAAACAACAACATCTTTGAATTCAACCTGTATATTATTAAGATCGATCATTACTGTGCGTTTCAAGACAATAGGCCCAACGGTTTTCCTTAACATGTGTTATCAGTGTTGCATATATGCTGAAAAAACGAAAAACAGCATAAAAATGGCCCAATCATGCTGAATTTCGAACTCGACCTATATTTTATAAATATTCATTAGTTCCAAACTTTTTAAGTCAAAAGCTAAAACGGTTTTCCACTTTTTATTGCTGAAAGTGCACGGCAAAGGCGGCAACGGCAGACGTAGGTGACGGCTATATGTACGGACACATTTGTGTCTGTACATAAAAAAGAAACAAACAAACAAATATAAACAAAATACACTGTGAGCCATGAAAATAACCCATAAAAAGTTAATCCTACTTCTTCTTCATGTGCCATCACTGATTCGGTGTTTGACGAACGATGATATTTTGCCAAAGGTTTCTATTTCTCGCCCATGACCAAAGGTGTCTTGCTGGTAATTCAAAATTGTCAAGAAAGGACTTTCGTTGTCTGCCTCGGGCACTTTTGCCAGGTATTCTACCGCTCAGGCTAAGATCTTCTAATCATTCTTTTCTGATGCAATGTCCCAAGAACTTCAGTTGTCTTTCTCTGACAGTGTTGAGGAGCTGTCTTTTTTGGTCAATCTGTTTAAGGACCTCTTCATTTGCAACATGCTCAATGTAGGAGATTCGGTGCATTCGCCTGTAGAACCAAATTTCAGCTGCTTCAATGTTACGTTGAGTTTCTACTGTCAAAGTCCAAGATTCACAGCCATACAGAAGAATAGACCAGACATAGGTTTTAAGGAGGCGGACCTTTATCTTTAAGGACAGCCTACGATCCTTGAAGATTGGGCCGAGATGGGTGAATGCATTTTTCGCTTGACCAATTTTTCTTTGGATTTCTGTCTTGCAACAGGCGTTGGATGTCACAAGGGCCCCGAAATAGTTATATGAGGAGACCTAGTCGATGGGAGTGTCCCCATGAAGCAATCTGCAACGTGGTGTGACCTCTGACTTAGAAACCAACATGTTTTTTGTTTTTTTGCTGTTGACATGTACCTCTAGTCCAAGCTTTGTGCTGGAGGCAACAGCAGCATCAAAGAGATTTTGGAGATCCACTCAGAGTATAAGGTAAAAAGGTCTGGAGACATGACACAGCCCTGACGCACTCCTCTTTTGATGGGAAACCAGTTGGCCATGCCTTCAGGAAGGCGGACTGCTGCAAGATGATCACAGTAGACTGATCTTATAACCCGCATGTCTTTGTCATCTATTTGAATTTTTGCAAGCATTTTGAAGAGCTCTTCATGTCGGATCTTGTCAAAGGCTTTTTGATAGTCGATGAAGACCATGTAAAGGTCTTGTTGATGCTGTAAGGTTATCTCTCTGAGCATTCTGAGAACAAATATGGCATTTCTGGTGCCTCTGTCTTTCATGAAGCCAAACTGGTAGGGTGTGACTTCTGGCATTTTGCGTCTAATTCTTTGTAAGATGATTTTCAACAGGATTTTGAGAATGTGGAACATCAGGCTTATTGTGCGATGACTTGAACAATCAAGTGTCCCTGGTACTTTGAGTAGAGTGATGAAGATGGATTTGAGTATGTCCTTTGGAAACTTTCCAGTCTCATAGATTTCACTGACTAGACTCCAAATCATGTCAGTGCCTTCTTTTCCAAGAGCCTTCAGTATCTCTGTGTATACCTCATCTGGTCCAGCTGCCATTCCGACTTTCATATTTTCCATTGCCCACTTCACCTCTGACTTTAGAATTGGTGGACCGGTTTTTGAAGTTTCCAGAACAATGCCCTCTGGTTCTTGGTCGTCATCGAAGAGATCTTGAACGTATTCTTCCCAGCGGGCTGAGACATCTTTAAATTCCTGTAAGACACGACCATCGGCAGCCTTAATGCATTTGGAAGGAGGGGTAGATCGTTTACCTACAATCTCGTTGATCTTTTGAAACATTTTTTGGGCATTGAAACTAAGGTTCTCAACTTCTTTACATTTTCCCTCTAACCAAGCTTCTTTTGATTCGCGGCATTTCTTGGTGTATTCTTGGTTTATTTGTTTGTATTGCACAGGGTTGGATTTGCAGATTCTTCTTTTCTGTAAGAGATCTATGATTTCAGGACTGAACCAGTGGGATGATGGTTTCTTGGCTTCCATTTTGGGGATGTTGTTCTCAGCTGCCTCTTGAATAGTATGCGTTATTTGGTGGTAGTGTTTTCTATATTATTGTTGGTTGATATTGGCAGACTTTTGAGAACTTCCCTTTTAAATCTGTCGCATATCTCTGGGTCACGTTGCATGGCTGTGAAGACGAACTTTGGTTTGACTTTGGATTTTTGGATGCGCTTGAGTGATAATTTGAATTTGGCTATCACTGGATTGTGATCTGAAACAACATCTGCTCCTGGGAATGCATGGGAATTCTTAATAGCATTTCGACATTTTGAATTGATTGCAATAAAGTCAATCTGATTCCTGGTCACCAGGACTGATCCATGTGTGGCGTCTTCTTAGATGTACTTTGAACCAGGTGCTGGTGATGACTAGGTTCTTATCTCTGCATCAGTCTATAAATCAGTCCCCCTTTTCATTCCTTTCACCTAAACCAAACTGTCCCACTGACTTTCCGTCACCTCCCTCAATTACTTTGGCGTTGAAATCACCCATACCTATATTGATATCATCAGACTTGCAGGAAGACATCAATTCATCGAGAGATTGGTAAAAACCATTGATCTCAGAGCTGTCAGCCACTGACGTTGGATCATATGCAACAATGATATTGATGTTAAAATGACAAGCTTTAAGTTTAACTAGCACCATTCGATCGTTTTGGGGTCAAAAAGAAAGAACCGAGTTGGCAAAGCTCTTGTAAAGAATCATAGCAATGCCATGAACATATTGGTTCCCTCCAGAAAAGAGAATTCGTTTCCTGTCTTTTGTAAAACCACCTGACTTAGGCCACCGTATCTCGCACAAACCTAAACAACGAATGTTAATTCTGTCCATTTTTACTGTCTTTATTTTCATTTGGCTTTACATCATTGTTTGCTGGGCCAGATACTGGAGTGGGTGGTCCATGTTCCTTCTCCAGATTATTTAACCCATATTTGGTGTGAATGGCCGTTGGCTCGCAAGGAGCAATTTTAAGTGTTATTTCAATTGTTCAATTATTTCTTAATTAGCTTAATATCGACCTAACCGTGCCCTTGATGGCTGCTCTACAAATGGCACAATTCCTCAAAGCAGGTGCGCACTGGACACATGCGACAAGATGGCCGCACGGCAGAAAGACCACACTAACTTCTTCATCCATACATATCTTACATGTGCGCTCTTCCTTCAGCCTCTTGTTCTCCTCAAGCAAGATATTGGTGTCTGGAATTAAAATGGTGCAACCCTATTTTTAAAACCGTTGTAATCAACGTTAAGTAATATTATGCAAATAAGCAACATTAGCAAATAGCTTTCATGCGCCTAAGCGGCTATCTTGAGGTATGCAGTTTATGCAGTGCTGTCAGTAGAACAGTAAGGGCATGCATCCTGTATCTTTCTAACTCCCTGTGTCTTTCCTTATTGCTCCTCGGTAAACATGTGATACGTGCAATGACTTTACCACCTAGTTAAATGACCTTGACGGGCATGGCCTTGATCAATAAAACCATGTGCTCAGTACCTTGGCTTACCAAGGTCGTGTTGGATGTTAAAAGGAGCAGGTACTTATGGCTTACATGTATATTATCGACCACATCAACCCTAGACCCTAAGTGCTCACCCCTGTCATCACTATCTTTTGGTACCGGAACGTCTTGTTTCTTCTTTTTCTTTTTCTTGTCCCTTTTAGATTGTTTCTCTGAAATAAAATAAAATAAAATAAATTAATTGATATTCAGACTGAACGATTCTGCATGTTGCAAAGATGACTCAAGCATGCCAGCAGTCATCGTTCCATCAATATTTGTCAGTAGTCAGCATTAGCTACCCTGTACATGTCACAGAGGTGGAATTTACGACGCTGACGTTCATCTCGGAAGAACAATATGCGTGCTGAAGTAAACCAATGAATTATACTTTATAGTAAAAAAAAAAACATAAGGCGTTGATGAAGACACCTAAGCAATGAAATCAGCGAAATGCTTATTGGTACACTAAAATATTTAATCTACTATGTAGACGAATATGTTATCTTTTTAAATTATATATTTTAAACACATGTGACATAACATAGTGTTATCAACTCAAACAAGTACCTGAATTCTGTGTTTGTGAAGTTTTCTGGGCTGTCTCACGTGGTGGTGCTTCAGTCAGAGCTGCGTTTAGTGGCTGTTGACCAGGCTCTTCTTGGGGAATTTCTGCCATCGCCATCGCACCTTGCACCGTCTGCCGGTTCATTTCATCCTCAATATTCAAAACGACGTCTAGCAAACTTGCTGCACTGGGGAAATCGTCTCCAATGTTTCGCAATCTTTGTTCGATCGCCTGACGCACTGTATCTCGACTGAAACCCATATCTAAGACCGTCTGCACTGTCGGGGTGTCCAGGCGGGCTTTGATCTCCCGAGCCTCTACATGGTAACTGCCTGGCGCACCTGCATATAAACAGGGTTTTGGTCACGTGATGAGACAAAAAGCATGCTCAACTATTTATTTACAAGCATAAGTTGATGTTTTGCTTCAAGTTATTGATTGTTTGATGGGTCTAATCGCAAATAAGAACAGAAATGACTTGTTCATTTACCTCAAATATATCTACCAATTTTGCTAAATCAGTGAAGAACAATAGAATATAATTAAAATATCTGCATTGGTTAAATTAGATGGTGTATTCACGCTCGGCTGTCACCTTGATTGGATAGTAAACGATTGTCGTAAAATCGCTAAATGATATTAAAACCGGGTTCATAAACTTGAAAACCACCAAGGACAACCTTGGACTGCCACATTAATCCAATACAATGCAAAAATTAACTATAACAAGTGGTTAAAGCCTTCAAACCGAATGTCGTAAAGTCTCCATATACCTCCATAGAGACAATAAAATAGAGTAAGCTTGTGAAACAAGAATAAACAGTTTTCAACATAATAATCGAAATAAAATACTGCCGGGCATCGGAGCAGCCTAAAACTTGGCACGCTTACCGCAAATACTGCAGGCTACATCATCCCGTCGCTCGTTTGTAAATTCCGTGCATGGCATACGCACAATCAAACCGTAAATCAAAATTGCACCTCTGATGTTTAAGTTGGTCCTCTCTAACCTACTATTACGAAAAAGAAGTCATGCCATTGGACAATGCGACCTCTGCGGTTACGTAATTTCCTGAATTGGATTGTGGAGAGGACCAACTTAAACATCAGAGGTGCAATTTTGATTTACGGTTTGATTGTGCGTATGCCATGCACGGAATTTACAAACGAGTGACGGGATGATGTAGCCTGCAGTATTAGCGGTAAGCGTGCCAAGTTTTAGGCTGCTCCGATGCCCGGCAGTATTTTATTTCGATTATTATGTTGAAAACTGTTTATTCTTGTTTCACAAGCTTACTCTATTTTATTGTCTCTATAGAGGTATATGGGGACTTTACGACATTCGGTTTGAAGGCTTTAACCACTTGTTATAGTTAATTTTTGCATTGTATTGGATTAATGTGGCAGTCTAAGGTAGTCCTAGGTGGTTTTCAAGTTTATGCGCCGGGTTTTAATATCATTTAGCGATTTTACGACAACCGTTTACTATCCAATCAAGGTGACAGCCGAGCGTGGGTGTATTGGCGTTGTTGATGTCTATCTATGAAATTGAGTGCTGCTTCAAAACTTAAGAAATCTAGCCAGGCATATGCACCGGGTAAATAATGACTAACCTTGTGGTCTTTGTGTTTGCGTTTGGGCCTGGGGAGGATAAATTGAATAAAATAATATCAAATCAATATAAAAATCAATAAAAAAGGATAATTAATATTTATGGCAGTTGCTGGCATGGTTTGCAGTTCTCCTTTTATCGTTCATTTAGTAGAACATGCTTTTAATGCGAGTCATAGAATGCATCTTGAGCGACGACATCCGAATAATTAAAGTAAAAATCAAACGTCCTCTAATGCTCCAAGTTACAGCAAACATTTCAACGTAATCTAGCCTAAAACGCTATAGTTTATATCCTTATAACATTGAATGATGTGTTTAAATGTACGCTTACTGGGTTGTTTAGCGACGTCTGTTCCTTTATCATTTGAATAAACGCATCCCCCTTGCACAGGCGAACAAAACCACAACGTGGGAACCAACGCGCATGCTCAGCCCAAGGGTCGTCTTGAGGTTCCCAATTCCTTAGCCCTCCGTCACAGAAGAAGCATTTCACGTTGTCACCAAAGCCTGTTATTAACGAATATTGAACAAAAATCATTACGTTGCAACCATAAACTGAATGGACCCTATTACTCTTCTAACCAAAATTATAAGATATGCCACTTGTCCAATATTATTCATAAGGGATAAGTTTATAATTAAGGCCTATTTAAACAAATCGTAAGAGCTGTATATGAACTTAGAAGTTCACTTTTATCCTTACATACTACAGGGTACTCAATATGGCTCTGCTATAAAAAAAAGGATGCTGGTGTGTTTTAAATATTGGCATTATAGCTTATGGCACATTTATTACTTTGAGGGGGGTCTCGTTTCTTATAATTTTGGCAAACCCAAAGGATAAGAGCTTATATATAGTAATTACCAATTAATGTATATATTTCAGTCAATAATAATTGGACTTACCGGCGTAAAAGAACCCGGCCCTGGCGAGTTCTTCAGGACGCGGAATACGAGATGGCGGCCAGTTAGCAAACGTCTGAACTCGGGTGTTTTCAATGGCGTATCTCTCGTGTCTGGGTCTCGCTGTTAGTATTCCTAGTGTGGCTTCATTTGTGGTGTCTATGGGGTGAAAACATAGAAAGGGGATCGACTAGATGAGTAAAGACAGTTTAACAGCATTCAGTATCTGTGGTTTACGTCTTTCCACTAACATGAATTCTAGATGTACTGCACTGTGAACAAATATTCGACGGCACCTTGGTGTAATGCAGAGTTCATGTTTTAATCATTTGGCGTTGAGTTCGGCACTCGCACTCTATCTAGAAACTCATTTTTCGTTTGGAAACTTTTTATTCGGGGTGCAATTTCCAGATATCAAATTAAAAAAAAATAAAATGGCTGATATTATCATGCTCCCCAGCAATGTGCTCAAAGTATAAAAAAATTCTCACCTGGAGATTTCAGATTTAAGATGACTTGTTATCAGCTTAAGGGTATCGTCTTAATGGGTCAATATAAATTACAGTGTACCGCATGAATATGTTTTACTAGGACTTTTACATTTTGTTCGTGTGGAACAGTTTGCCAAGAATAGAATTGTTACTGAGTCAGACTTACTCTCTGATCCCGTTCTGCTGCCTCCCACAGCGTGACTTTGTGATTCCGACACAGCAAGGGGAAGAGCTGTGCTTGGTTCTTCCAGAGGAATGTTCCCAACTTCCAGACCCAGGACGAACGGGCAGGTGGAAAGGTGTCTGCGGTGTTCCTGCAATGGTTGGTCTCCTGAAACAAATGTTAATGACTGACAGTCCGTGATCCATGTCATCCTTCCGACGCTGAGGATTACTGTGCCCCAAACCTAAACCAGCATTTTAGCTACAAACCAATGTTAAAATTTAGTCTGTCATGAAAATATTGCACCACATTTAACAGTTTCGATGAACGCTTTGGTAAATTTTGGAACAATCACATTCTACAATTATCTGAGTCACCACTGTCTTGTTTCAAACATATGTAAACAAAAGGCAGCGATAGCATCACGTTATTCGCAATAAAAAAAGCTATCATACCTGGTTCCCAATTCCTTAAAATCCCCTCACAGAAGGCACACTGTACCCGGTCCCCCGTGCCCACGTAGAAAAAGCCAGCTCTTGCCAAGTCTCTGGGTCGGACTCTTGCTCCACTGGGCCAGTTGACGAAAGTCGCCAGGCGGTCAGACTCGTTCCTCACCCGTGAAGGGACGCCGGATGTCCGGTGAGATGTATATGATGGAACTAATGTGTTTCCGTTAAGTTGTGCAGGGGAAGGGGCAGATTTGTTCTTGTTAGATCGTACACCACTAGCGACCCCAGCATGAGCCACTGTGCTACTTTCCTGCGGCGTGGTCTGCAGGGTGGCGACCTCTGGTGAACTGATGCCCAGTGACCTGGATAGTGCTTGTTGACTTGACAATAGTGAGGGCACATTGCCACTACGGTCACGTGGTGTAGACCTAGTGTTTGCTAAGTTCGGGAAAGGGTCAACATTAGCCCCTGTGTTGTCATTAGAAACAGCGCGAGCTGAGGGGAAAAGGGGAACATTTTCTGTGTCAGTCTCTCTCAAAAATCGACAATTTGGGTAGAAATTACGATGTCGCACAGCAGGGTCATCCCCACGAGCCCACTCTCTCAGTCGCCCGCCACAGCTAAAGCAAACAACTTCATCTCCTTCTCCAGAATAGTAGAACCCAGCGCGTGCAAGGCGCGTGGCAGGCACAGGAATTGAAAGAGGCATATCTCGAAAGGTTAATAATCTAACAGCTTCAAAACGAAATTCTTCACCCCTTGGAAAAGGTGGACCATTTGCCTTCCGTAGGAAGTAATCATGAAGATGAATTGGAAATACATTTATGTACACCCTTTCTTGGTTGCAGATATCGGCAATATCTTTGACAAAGACTCTTAATGTAGAAACAGGCTTTGCACGTATGTAGAAGAAGGCCGCCACCAGATTACACATGAGTGAATAAAGAAGTTGTAAATCACAAGTCATGCGGAGTTTATATAAATGATTACTGTATTTTTGTAAACATCGTGACACGCAACCATGCACCAAACAGCATGTATAGTTATTTAGTATTATTGAATCAAAATTTTCAGTGTTCCAAAGTGTTCGTCGGCCTTGAGCAAACTTACAACAAACACATTTTTGCTTATAAGATGTTTTTGTGAGATGAGAATCGCTGCTGTCTGTAACAAGAAGTGCAGAGATACACTGCCCAATCAGTTGCATTACATTTTTAATAGGGTCAGGTAGGCCTACTGTTTTTGTTATCGCAGAGAAGGTAGATGATCCAGATGACTCTTTGAAGTTAGAGGGAAGGACATGATCAGATTGTGGTTTACTCGGTGAATCTTTGTGTGTTGCAATGTCCTGTATTTCACTTGTATTACTTCTTAGACTTTTCTTCTCAACTCTTTGCGCATATGTTTCTGTTATTTTCGTTGGTATAGGCCTAATGGCAGATCTGCAATGTCGGAAAGGAAAAATAAGTACTACAAAATAAGAGGCTAAATGCAAAAAAACACACGGCTTCAGTAAACGCACAGAATGATGCTTAATTAAAGACGTTCTCTCATATTAGCTTTTTTTGCGATCTGCGCAGATTTCGCACATGAGTATTTTTTTGCGATAGCGGCTAATTATGAAAATATAATATGCAATAAAATACGTAATTCATCCTTTTTAGAAATCTGTATGGAATATTTGATGTAATTTTCGTCGAAGCGCTACGAATATGTCAACAATGCTTTGCGTATTAGTGAACGCTTGGTCTTTTACGACGTAAAGTACCCACTTGCGACTTTGTTTACAAATGCCGCAATGTACGAAATTACCCGAAGAAGGGATTGAAAAGAGCGTTTTAGTAAGGCTTGCATAGCATTGACATGATCTTATCTCACAGAAAACATTCACAAAAGCTTGCATTTTGACCACAAAGTGTATTGCTAAGATTTGTCCTATGGTTACGATGTGTGTAGCAAGACATTGCCTTCTTTAGCATTGGTTTCCGATCACCCAGGTTGCGGTGATTTTTATGCTGAAAACAATTCTCTTTTCTCTCACAATTAGTTAAAATAATTAGACTCACTTTTTTGTATTAAGTTTTTTTTTTTATTTAAGTATGTTATTGAACAATATTACCTGTAAACAGTGCGATTTTTAGCTCTCCTGGAAAGATGCAATAGGTGTGCACCCATCCGGCGTGTTGCGAGGTCATTCTTGTAATGGTTTTGTTAAATTGCAAATGGACAAAACCATAAAACACACAACAGAGGACCAAGGGATTTTTATGCAAATACATGTAATACTTTTTTTATGCTGGGGAAATACACAGTATATTTTAGAAGATAAATTATACTTTATTCCAATTTTATCCAAATTTACCCAATCATTAACAATTTAATTTGTAAATTACTTAACATAAATTATTCAGCCCATAATGTATTAGAATATTGTCTTGAGTCAAAAAATTTAGTTGATGTATGCAATAATAAAGAGCAGAAAATCCTTTGATCTCATAATCCTGGGCCGCGCGAGATAAGAGTAGTAGCACCAAGCCTTTTTTTCAGTGTTTTTAATCTTAATATGATCAAAATTAAAATAAAAAATGATATTGAGACATAATGAATTATCACAAAAAAAATTCACGGCACACATTTTTTCAAAATGGCCCAGCCAGATTTTGATTTTTTATTTCATCCCATTCAATTAACTAATTCCTGTGTTCAACCTTTAGCAAATTCTATATAAAACCTATATATATATAGTTTATAAAAATATTTTTTCATGTTTAGGGGGAAATCAAGATGTCGTGGTTAATATATCAGCATTTGCACATGTCATTTCAAAGAGGTCTAGATGGTCTTTATTGTCTTCTATGTGAAATTGATCTAAACACAAAAAAGAGTAACAAAATGTATAAAGTAATAGGAAAAATGCATGTAGGATGTCTTTAATGCCTAAATTTTAAATAAGTATGTATATTTATTTTTGATATTTATTTGATTTCATGTTGTAAATATAATATGAAATCGAAATAAACTGATAACCAAAAGATGTCTTTAGATGAATATTCTAACTTTTTTGCCACCTAGTTTCCAAAGCACATTTGTCAAGAAATATGGCTAAATGTAACGTACCAGTAGTAAGAAATTGATACATTGTTTAAACAATGTATATTAAAATATACAAAGCAAACAATCTATCCAGCTATCTCAATGTTAAAAATGTATAAAACAGTAAGAAAAAGGGAATAGAAAGATAAAAGTCACAAGAGATTGATACATGTGCTTGTAGGTCCAGCCTATGAAAAATCCAATATGGCGGCATTCCACGAGGCATACTGAAATCCAACTTATACTTTCAACATTTGAATATCTATTTATTATGAATGGGATAAGCAAACTTTATGCAATTTAGTAAGCTGATGCAGAGACGTTTAAATATAATTTTCATGGAAGCAAAATAAGTGTATGAGTTTAAAAACCCCGGTTACAAACATATTTATTTTAATTTGCTTGGAAATTTCTATTGATTCCTATGTAAAATTGATAAAAAATTCATGTTCAAGCAGCCCTGGTTCAAAAACAAGCTCGGTGTGGTACATATTAATTGTAAATTTCTTTGAGGTCTACCAAAATCTATAACATATCCACATAACATTAAAATCGCTAGGGCAGAATTTTTTATTTTTGCATTTTTCAGCAAAATTAAGGGCATTTTGGCAAAATCCCCATATAACGCAATGTAATAAACGTAGCGTTTTTCCGGACGCCACCTCTCGATAACGAGCTGGAGTACCCCCAATTTTTTTCATATTTTTACTCATATGGTTAGAAGATTTTGTCTTACAATTTTAATCAAAATCGCTAGAGCAGAAATATGAAATCTGAAATATGAGAGAGCGTCCATAAGACCGAGCTACTTTTTAAGTGCAGTAATTTCCCAAGGAAAACACTCAAGCAGAGCAAACTTGTCCCAATATAGTAGTGGTCGGATATACTTCCTTGACACTCAAAGTTTTGTTGTTCTGGCATCTTAGCATTGACCAGTGTGCTACGGGTAGGAGACGAAATTAGCATTTTATTAAGACGAGGCAATCAGACTGTGAGTCTGATCAAACAGTTCTCTTCTGTGGCAACATTTCAGCTGTTTTATCCTATACCGCTGAGAAGATATGATAAGGTTGTATGCGACTTCAGTAGTGTAAAGGGCACATACATTTCATACGGCCATTCTGCTTCTGTTATGCGGAAGAAAAATAGATCAGGAATAAAGCGATGACTGGGGTAACCCAGTGGGCAAATTATGTTGTTTTAACGTTGAAACAACGTTGAACCATGACGTTGATAATACGTTGGATATACATTGGATTTGAAATTTGGTTCAACGTCAGACAACAACATTGTATGAACCCCAGTTGTTAGACAACATTCTTGCATGAAAAGACATTAAAATGACCTGAAATGTTTTTATTTTTGGTACACAATTATAACGTACACTGTAAAAACATCCAAGTGCCTGCTTTGTCTGATTATTTCAACGCATTTAGCTCCTAAACATGTTTTGCACCTAAGCATGGTGCACCCTTTTAGCCTGGATGTGTTTAGCAGTAGGACATGTTTGATGGCTAAATAGGTATATATCACCTCAACCTGTCTATCTATAACAGGGTCTACTTTACCAACTTAATTAACTTCACTCCATCATATTTACAGCGACTTATTCATCCTAGTGTTAGCTGACCTTGCAAGGAAGTTTATTGGAATGTATTTCTGAATAAAAAATTAAGAACATTCACTAGTTCACTAAAGACATAAAACTGTCACTTTTACTTTAAAACACTTTTTTAAAATTGTTTTGATAAAGTTAGTTACAGTATTGATAAACAAAGTATCGCGTTTTCAATAATAATTAATCTTTTAAATTACAATCCATGTCTGCAAGTTTGTGTCAATGACCAAAATACAACGTTGAGTCAACGTCACATTATGACGGTGTTTTGACGTGGCTGGATCAACGTTGATTTTATGTTGAATTTAGGTAGGTCAACAGCAATTCAACGTATCAACCTGTTTTCAACGTTGATTCAACATCACTATGCCTGCTGGGAAGTCAAATCTGCAGCTCGTGCCACTCGGCCACATTTTTCAGATGGGGCCCAGGGTTAATAAACGTTGGTACCTATTTCCACCAAGTGAGACCAAACAAGAGCTGAGTTATGGACATATACATCGAGCATGTCCAAAATATGACCAGAGCCACATGATCAACATTACTCAAAACCAACCTCATGCTTCACATAGGCAACATAGACAGAAGAGATAAATTCATATAACTCCTACATCACCGTGGGGCTGGAGAAATCTGGGCCCGGTTGCACCAACAGGGCGTAAATTTACTCGTCTACGACTGTCGTAAACCGCAACGCCTGGCGTCCGTGCGCCAGGTTTACTCTCCCTGCTTACGCCCGTTGCACAAAGACAAAAACTGATGGTCGTAACAACGCCCGTGTAACGCTCCGTTGCATCACTGGCAAACAATACGTGAATGAGGAGTTCTCAGCTGCAGTCATAATAGAATGATGACATAAATAAGGGCCCCTTTACACTGGACGGCGTCCTTTCTGCGTCCAGCAGTCCGGCCCCATTTGAGAGTTAAAATTTTTTAATATTTTACGTGCCGACAACTGGCTGATCATTGAGCATTCATTCTGATAAAAAATTAATGCT